TTGTCTTCTTTTTGATGGAGGAGGAGAAAAGAAGGCTCTGTCTGAATTGGGTCAATCCTTCAAAGCTGCCACAGCCCATATTTAAGGCCTTCCAATTAGGATGTATGCTGCCGCTTTGTCTGTCATTTCTGAGACTGCCTGTTGCCTTGTATGTTAGGAAATATGTTGCTGTCTCATTTAAGGTTAGGAAAAATGTCACTGTTTAGGATGAAAATTTTGCTGATACTCAATTTTGGAATTTATGGCAGATATAGCACCTGGAAAGAGTTAAAAAAAATTTGTTAATAAAATAATTGTTATTAATCTTTCTCCATGGAGGGACCATTCTTCAATAATAGAGTGGTTTTCGTTTGAGTGTCGTAAAACCAAAACCAAAGTAATTACTCTGGCCAATCACATAGGACACAGACAATACATTGAACCAATCAAAACTCGAAGTAATTACATGTGGCTGACGCAAAGCGCGGGAAAATGCATGCGAGCGCATCACAATTGGCTTTGGTTTTACTTCTGATTGGATGAAAAGGTGGCGCGAATCTTTTAAGCCAATCGCATCGTGTAGAAAGTGCAAAACCAATTATTACTTTTCGACACTCAAATGAAAACCGCTCTACCATCAGATCATTGGAAAACGTTTCAAAGAAAGTAACAGAAAATGTTCGGAAATAACAGAGGAGTGATCATTATTTTGCAGCTAAAACACCAAAAATATAAAGACGTCAGATGTCACTTTCCCTAATTAAAAAAAAGATTATTGCTGTCACAATTCTCTCCTCCTTTTCTGTTGATTGTCGGTGCTTTCTGAGAAGATTGTTGCCAGTTTTCTAGCCATGTCACCCGTCACTTCCACCCCTTGGAAGGCATCATATTTCTCGACTATTTATTCTTATTTTCTCTCATCAAACTGGTTGTGAGTGCAGGCATCTGTTTACTGCTAAACCACTGGACATATTTTAATAGACCTTGTTCTTGTTTGTTATCTTCAGGGAATTGCCTTTTGTCTTTTCATTAATAATTATGTATACATATGTACATGGATGCATGTGCAGAAGATGACATAATTTTGAAAGAAACAGCTCTCCAGGGTACCATCACCTGGTCTGAAATGGGAAAACTAAACATTCAATATTGGCTAAAAAAGGTCTCTTGAGTTCACTGTACCAAGCACAAAGCTATTAGGTCTGGGTATTGAAACTGTATCCTTAGCAACGTGCCGGACATACTCAACAAAGAGCCTACTCAATTCATGCAGAGTCTTTCTTGAGTATCCAAAATTGAGCATGTGAAAGAAAGGATTTACATTTTATTTATTTAGTAGATAAAGTTCACCTTGCTTGTTGATCACCCACTTTTCAGACAAAAGCATGAACATTAAAATCACTGCACAATTGTCCATGAAGTACATGTAATCTATGTCTTGTATAAAAAATATGACAGTAGAGACTGGTGGAAAGGTGCTTGCAAGTTGGGGGCAGGTTTGGAAAGGAGGATAACCCACATCCTCCTCTCTGCTAGAGGGATCAGGGGGCCTCCCTGGGGAAAAAGTTTATTTTGGGGGCCCTGAAAAGTGAATTTCATTTTGTTTAAGGTATTCAAGCTTTATTTGTTTACATTCACAATAAATAAATTACAAATACAATATACAATTTTATTCTCATGACATAAAGATATACAATAATTATTACAGAGATCAATACAATAATGAATTCAAAATATATTATTCTAATGACATAAAGATTTAAGATTTTGCATGGCCAGTTAAAACATTTAAGACTCGAGGACCGTACACTTTTTACCCACATTTGGTTTATTTTAAATCCTTTAAAAAAAATTCTGTAAGTGGCCGGTTCTTTCATTATGACTTGGAGGAGACTTTCACTGGTTGCCAGCACTTCTGGAGAACCAATAATTATTATTGTCCCTCTCTAAACTAAGATTAAGACTTAATAATAAAATGCTGTTGTTGCAGAGGAATCCCAGGAATGCCTGGTATGGAGATGTATTCACGAGAAGACATAAAAAAAATGCAGGATCAGCTTGGTGCCCGTCAGAAGGAAAGTGAGGAAGATGTAGTCGAAGATGAAGGACATTTTATGCCGGGAGAGGATGTTAGCTTTTTTCAAATGATAATCGATGGCTTAAATAGGCTTTGGTTGTGGATTAAGGACTTGTTTGGATTCAGGAAAGGCAAATCTGATGAATTATGACACTGATCTATGTTTAGTAATAGTTGTAATTTTTTGCTGTACAGTCTTAATCCTTGTTTCCATTATTTTATTTCCATTTTTTTAGAATTGGCCAAAGCAGAAAATACCATGGTATTCTTTAAAATGCAGTTTGGGTGTTGCTTCATGTAAACCTGAATTTTGCTACGTTCCATTGCTACACAGTTTTTTGCCATTATTCAAACCACCATAAAATTGTATTGTTACAAATTTAATACCTAAAAATTGCCACACGCACAACTTGTTTTTATGCTCTTTCAATCTATTACATTCTCGGGGTTGTATGGCTCAAATAGGCTTTGGTTGTGGATTAAGGACTTGTTTGGATTTAGGAAAGGCAAATCTGATGAATTATGACACTGATCTATGTTAAGGAATAGTTGTAATTTTTTGCTGTGCAGTCTTAATCCTTGTTTCCATTATTTTATTTCCATTTTTTTAGAATTGGCCAAAGCAGAAAATACCATGGTATTCTTTAAAATGCAGTTTGGGTGTTGCCTCATGTAAACCTGAATTTTGCTACGTTCCATTGCTACACAGTTTTTTGCCATTATTCAAACCACCATAAAATTATATTGTTACAAATTTAATACCTAAAAATTACCACACGCACAACTTGTTTTTATGCTCTTTCAATCTATTACATTCTCGGGGTTGTACATCCCAAACTTTTGTAGGTAACATGACTGCAAGCTGCTAAGAGTAAGGATAATGAATGATTGAATCTCTACTTAGTCACAGATTCAAACTTTTAGAAACTACTGCTGTACATGTATTTCAACTGTTAGGGCTTTGATAAAGAAGGGGACCAAGACGGAAATGTTAGCTTAATTTTTGCATAATAGTTATTTTTAAATCTAATTTCATCGATCTTACTGTCTTGTAGTTGAGGGTAACTCTAAGTTAAAGTTTATAATCATCTACCTTTATCATAGAGAAAAGATTGAATCATATTTAATTGCTGTGAATACCATTGTACTCAAAGAAGGCATCTAAGGGTGCTTTCCCTTTGTCAGAACTGGCCAGCTGGACCATTGACCGACCAGTCAGTTTGAAAATGACATAGGCTTTTTCCAAGAGTTTTTGCTGAAAAACGTCATCCTTCATGCATACTATTTAGGATTTGACTGATCTGGCTAGAGAGTTTTGATTAACAGGGAAGTTATCATTGTGATGGGAATGGTTTGGCCTGTCAGTTTTGACAAATAGAAAGCGCACTAATATTAATGTCTGGATGCATTTTACTAACAGAACTACTTAAGGAAACCATGCATGAACACAAGAAATAGTCCTGGGATGTTAATTTGTTGCCAGGCGAAGGCAATATTTTTTTTGTTAATAGTTTCTCAAAAACCTCAGGGGCACCCAACGAGAATATAGTTCAAAACCACTTAAACATAGCATTGTTAAACGTATTTTATTAAACGGTAGATATAGGCGTATTTTTATCCCCTAAAGATGTTTCATCTGTTTGGATTTCTTAGCTGAAAGCCTGGTGATCCGAAAATTATAGGGACCAAAACTTTTCTTTTCGAAAATTTAGCCAGAAAAAAGGCTCCCGAAAATTCTAGATGACCTTTTTAGGGTAAAAATGCGTTAAAAATGGGCAATTATACTATTTTTTTAGATCTTCAAAAATCCTAGGAGAGGCAGGCAAGCAAGAAATTTTACATCAAATGTTCCGAAAATTCTAGATATCAAATCGTCTTCCGAACAGATATTTTCCGAAAATTGACGTCGGGCGCCCCTGAAACCTAAAGTGCCTGTAGCGATGGTAATTCACTAGTTTGTGGTTTGTTCATTCTTTGGTGTGATTGGTTATTACACAATCAACATTCCTGGAATTTTCTTAAGTGTTCACAGTTTCTGCATTTGATAATATAGTCTGTAGCTATCAGTTATGACACAATAAATACAGGACACTTCAACAACAACAACAACAAAATTAATGAAATATACTACATTCAAGGAGCTAAAGTCAACAGGAGTTTAGAATAATATATAATAGACATCGGAGTTTAAAATAAAAGTGTTTTAGGAAACTGTTTCTCCCATTGATTTAATGGCTAGAATGAAAAGTGAAAGTAATTCTTTATCGTAAAATATAACGCTGAAAACAAGAAAAAAGATCAGCATTTAGAGTTCCAGTTGATATCTGGCAATGCTGCAAGGAGGAGGGGTGCCGAATGTTTTTTCTATGAAGTACCCATTTGACGACATTGTCTGAGCTATTGTGGGTTATCAGAGTCCTTAGAAAACAGATGACATTCGCGACGCCACCAACGGTTTCCCCAAGAAGTGACGTCTGATGACGCGTCACTACCCAAAACCGGGTAGTGCTTTTGATTGGCTGAAGCACGTTTCCCACGCGGCACGACCAATCAGAAGCACTACCCAGATCTAGCTACTGATGCGTCATCAGTATGGAATTTCTGCGCTCGTTTCTCAGACGTCATTTTGCGGGGAAACCGTTGGTGACGTGGCGAAATGTCGTCTGTTTTCTCTCCATTTACGGAAGTCACGAGAAGAAACGCATGAGTGGCATGCGAAAGGGGTTGCGAGAGCGACTTGCTTTGCTCACCAGAAATGGAGCGCCTGCTCTGTTTCAGGCTATGTTTTGACCACTAGCTGAAGTAGTTTCTCAACAATTCCGAATTCAAGTCCTCAGCTCCGCTTCTAGTTTAGTAACTGGTTGCCTCTCGCCAGTTGGGGTTTTTAACGGGTCTTTTACGTTGTAAAGGAAAGAAGCTGTGACTGCTACCACTCAAAAGGCAATCATTCAATTTTAGATGCCACGCACATTTCAGGAAAGGGATGGTTTAAAATACCGAGTGCTAACTTCAAGCTTAACTCGCGTTGGAGCTTTAGTAGGAAATCCGTGTAAGCAGTTTTTGGTTCGTCCTTTTCAAACTCAAATACGTCGGAGAAAGGGAGAAAGTATGGCTTCAAAGAATGCTCATCGGCAAATACCAACAGCTGCTCGTACAACTTTGCGGCAAGTTCAGCGATGTTCAATTGTGCATAGCTCTGCTCCGAACGACGGCGCATTTCTTGAAAAAGGTAAAATGTACAGTTTTTTAACATGTAGCTCTTGATCACTGAAGGTGGTTTCACCGGGAATGGTTTCCTCTCATTGAATTTCTTCAACATATAATAACGATTTGTTGGGAGCTTATCAATTTCAATCTCTGGACACACCTCTTTGGTTTTCACTATTTTTGCAAGGGCATAAGCATGTCGAAACTTTTCTGGCAAGGTTTTCATCAGAGCTATCTCTGCAGGTGTGGCAGAGATTCTCAGCATTCTCCTTTTGACAAAGTTTTCGTCGCCCTCGAGAATGTTGCACGTGTGACTTATGCTGTCGTTCAAAAGATGCCTCCTCTTGTCAAAGTCTTGAACTTTCGTCTGAAGCATCAGGAAACAGCCTGCATCAATGACATTTTCATTCATAAGAACGATTTCGTTTGTATTGATGTTAGGTGGCCACCATCCGCGCTTGTAAACCGCCGGGACTAAGTCAATGCTCATCTTCAGTTGTTTGTATACTGACCCCATCCAATACACACAAAAGTTAAACACCGGCTTACCGTGAAGGACCTCCATCTTGTCCTCGAAATTGTAGTACAAATTTCCAGATGTCCACAATTCTGTTTCGTTTAAAGCCCGTCTTAGGTACCTGAAAAAATGTTGCAGAATTGGTAGCGCCAGGAAATAACCACCTGCGTCGCAAAACGGCAGATATTCCTTAGAAACTGGAGTTTCTGTAAATCGAAGACACGCATAACCAGTTTCTAGACATTCTTCCGTCATCACAACTGCAGTCTTGTCGTTGAACTTGTCAAGGCATAGAACAAAGTCGAATTCATCTGGACGTCCCACTTTAGTTCCTTCAGCAGAGCTTCCGGAAGGAAAAACTGACATCTCAAACCTGGAATCATATGTGGCTATTTTACCGCACAATGACGCGACAAGAGTGTTGACTTCTGACACCACTGCTTCTACCTCGGTGGCAATCTTCATCGGTCTGAAGTAGTACCTTGTCATGAGGTGCTGGGAAAATCCATCCATGTGACCCTGTAAGCCAAGCACTGTCTGTACACCTTGTGCAGACGTAATGCTGGACGAAGGAAGCATCCTTGGCATGTTCAAAAGAATCTCTTCGAATGCCCTATTCCTTGGGATCTTCGATTTACCCAGGTCATCTTCCTCTAGCATGTTATGACATAGAAAGCTGCAGTGGCGTCGGACAGTATCCAGCGGTCTGTCTTGCAAGTCATCCACGGCATCTCTGTCAGCGCCATATTTCAACAGCAATTCCACTTGCTCCGGAAAGTTGTGATAAGCGGCAAAATGAAGGGGAGTCGAGCCATACATATCTTTCGTATTTACGTCTGCAGCGCCTTCTTCTATCAGTTTTCTAAGAAGACTTGGAATCGGTCTATGCTTCATAATAGAGACAAGCGGACTGCGGCCCCATCTGTCCTTTCGGTTAAAATCCATCTTGTATTTTGCAAAAACGTCAAAAACTTTTTCAAGAAACAGAACAAATGCGGGAGATTCTCTATAAACGTTTTCAGTATCGATATCAGCTCCGCCTTGTATGAGCAAATCCATTATTCTAGAATACATCAAACCCGTCGACACACCTGCGATCCTGTGTAATACTGTATTCCCGAGATTATCGGCTGTTTGTGCGGATACTCCGTATGACAAAATTGTCTGCAAAGCTTCTTCCGAAATGTTCGCATCATCTATCATATTACTCCACGGAGTCCTGCCAAAAACATTCCTGTCGGACAACAGATCCTTTAGAACAGGTAAACTTATAGCGGCAATCTTATCCAACGTGTCCGAAATTTCTTCAAAAATTTCTGACGCTGCGTAAACATGCAAAAAGTTCTCACCCATTTGGTTTTTTGCCCTTAGCTCTACTTCAGGAAAGCTACAAATAATGTATCTCAGCAAAGGAGTATTGTCTTTTCGCGTGGAAGCTAAGTGAAGAACACTGTGCCCAAAGTTGGTCTGGCAATTGATCCTTACACCTGCGTCTACAAGAAGGTGAATCGCTTTTATCAAGTCGGACCTTACTTCTTCAAATTCAGCGACGTCAAACTCCTCAAAATCATCCAGGCGCGATTCTTTACCCAAGGAGATTAAACAATGGAGAGCATTGTATCCATTCAAATCTGCAATATTAACGTCAAGGTTGGGCAGGCCTAAGAGCTTTTCTAGGTTTTGGAAACTATCTGTTATAGCAGCATAATGAAGAGGGGTTTGGCCCCACTTGTTTTGTTTGTTGACATCTGCTCCCTTTTCGATCAATATATCAATGACTCTGGAACCTTCCTGAGATGTGTTTATGGCTGCAAGGTGCAGGGGTGTTTCACCTTTTACATTTACATAATGGATGTTTGAACTCTGTGATTCTCGCAAGCATCGTACCTGTAGTCTGTGCTCTTGACGCAATACATCTAGTAATAAAGATAACAGCGCCAATAGAGAGTGTTTAAGTAAAAGTAGACCACAGGACGACTACTCGAGTACTACGGTTATTTGTAAGACATTTAATAACTGCACCTCTCTGGCTGCCATTGCACAGGGAAAACTAACCTGAAGAAAATGGCAAAGGGACTAAACGAAAACATAAATATTATTTACCAAGTAACCTATCGATACCACGATAATATAATTATGTTTTGAAAGCTGTTATTTTTAGAGCATTGTCAAACAATGATGATGATGATAATTATGATAATAATGACGATAATGAAGATGTTACACTCTAGTGGAGTATTACATGAAGAGTATCCCATAGAAAAGAAGACAATGATGAAGACCTGGAAGAAGAAATGCACGTCTGTCTGAGCAAAGGCTTGCAGATCGAGTAAGAGTCAGTTTTAGAAGTTAGTGCAAAGCAATTTTCAAGGAGTTATAAAAACTCCACTAGAAGGGTTAATTTAACTCCTTGCAGTGGACTTATTTTAACTCCAAAAAGGAGTTTAAAGAACTCTTTTTCAGGAGTAAAAATCACCCCACATTTGAAGTTAATATTGAGGAGTTAAAATAACCCCCCAAAAGGAGTCAACCTGTACCTAATTAAAATTTTTACTCCACTTTCAGAGTTAAAGTAACTACAAAAAGAGTTTAAAATGGCCTTGTAAGGAGTAAAATAACCTCATTTTCTGAGTTATTTTAACTCCAGTCTAAGAGTTAAAAGAAGTCTTTTTTAGAAGTAAAAGTGACCCCAGATTTTGAGTTAAATTAGGAGTTAAAGTAACCCCACAAAGGGGTTATCCTGTACCTAAAATTCTATTCTTGGAGTCACTCCTTAAAAATTACTGCATAATTGGAGCTGGAGCCTGGTGTTAATCAGTGATTGTGAAATAAATTCTCCTCATCAGTACCATAGGAAGTATATGGATTTTGGTTTGAGAATATGGAAACTGATCAGGAAGAAGATAACCTTGAACCGTAAGAACCAGAAACACAAGAAAAACCCGCAATTAAACAACTTGTTCCAAGAGCTCCGTGGACTCCGGAGCCTCAGTTGAAAAGCTTCAAATGGGGGAAATTTGTCTGCTATAAGATGTAGGTTGCAAAGAAATCCTCAAGGATAGGTGGCACACCCCAACAGGAAATTTAAGGGTTCCAGCGCCCTATTAAACTGACTGTCGATCTCACTAGAACTGCTCTTTCTACAAGCGCAGTTTCAGTAAGCTTATTCTTAGTATCACTAACAAGTTCAGAAAATTAAAAAAACGTTACGCTAAACGCCATATAGCCCAAAAATACTAACAGAAATCCTACCAAATCTTCATGGACGGACATTGTTCCTCCTCTTGGTTTTCTTGGAACCGAGCCCGCAAAAATTATGCCCAATGGCCTTTGCTGTGCATACGTAACTACGTCGTGTAACAGGTTTTCTGGTGGATTCAGCATGGAGCCGATGGAATGGCCGTTGAAATCGTCTGCTCTTGGAAAGGTTTCGTGGAGATTTCAGAGTGCTTTTATTCTTGGCTTAGTTGGGCTTTCCAGTAAAATATTCCTGGGTAAGATGTTGCTTTTACACGCAAATGATTTACGTCGCCCATTTGGCCTGTTTGGGGCTTAAGATTGGGTTTCCTAGTTGGATCATTATTCTTATCAAGGACGACTCATGCTTAATAAGCTTAATTTTTTTCTGTTTCTCGCACTGCTGTTTCATGATAACCTTTATGGCATCTTTATGGCATCTTTACACACATGGAAGCATCGATCGGTAGACCGAAGACTCAAGCTTCCTTTCTTTATGTGGGGTCAAATATCCGGAATAATCAAGGTCGTGGTGTTTATAATTATGGCTCAGTCAATTCCAAGCGTGCCCATCCCCCCCGGGTATTTGTCAGGCATTTGTCATTTTGTTTTGGAAAAGCTGCAAATGCCCCACGGTGGGGCCGGGCGTTCATACAAACCCCCATGGTATGTGGGGCTTAAAATTAGGGTGCAAATGCCCAAAAGTGCATTTTCCAGTAAATAAGCTGCGAATACCATATTTATGGTAAATCTTTAATAATATGATCAAACTCTGAAGCACACCCTAGGCAAATCGCTCCCAGCTGCTAGTTATAATTATTGCAAAAAAGATCACATTGATTAATCATCTGATTAATGTACGTCAATGACAGAACTATAGAATTTTAATGATACCTTGTCTTATTTTTGAAGATGTTTAATATAGCAAATGATATAGAGAATACTTCATGGAAAGTGCTGGCGTATGGTATTTATGCACGAGTTGTTGACGTATCAGAAATTGAACGAGTGAGCGCAGTGAACAAGTAAGATTTCTGATACAAAAACAACGAGTGAGTAAACCGTACAAAGCACTGTCCATGTGGTATTGTGTTTATTATATACATACTGAGAAATTCATAATTTTGGCGGCCTTTTTATTTTAAATCTTTCAAAAATGCTAAAATTTGCCGCTACACATTACAGCAAAATGACAACGAAAATGAAGTATCAGCTTTTTAGTAAAAACTTTTGTTAAAAACATAAATGATGGTAAGGATATGAGATAATCCATGAACTATAAGTAATCTTAACCATTTGTTCTCAATGCACAATTGAAAACGAGTGAATCTGAGTAAAATGGCCGGTTTCAATATAAGCTGAAGCTTAAATGAAAGGCAAAGTAGCTCTGACAAAAAGCACAACAAAAGCTTACGTCTCGTTCTCTTTTTCCCTTTCCGCTGTTGTTTCGCTGGCTCTGTACCGTTTTCTTTATCGACAGTGAAATGTTTTCCACTTTTTTAGCAAGAATAACTCTTTGAGTAAAACTTTTCTCGTTAAATGTGTACGAAGTGGCACTGCATTAGCTGCAATAAAAGGCGGGAATTTTGGCGTGAAACTCAAACACCTCTGTGGCTTCTGATTGGATGTATCATTCTTCTCACACGTGAAAATCATCGTTCACAATTCTGATTGGACGTATCATTTTTTCACGTGTGAAAACAATCATTCGCTCCTCTGATTGGCTAGAACTAATTTGCGTACGAAAATTTACGACAAAGCTTTTTGGTGAGCATTTCTCAGTATGTATATAGTAATAACAAATGACCAACGCCCTTTGCATGAGTATGTTCTCATCTTGATGGAAACATTGAACTGTCACATTTATTGTACAATACACAAAGTTTGTATTAGCTTTCAAATAACTCTCAGATTTTTTCTAGGCCTTTCTGCCTCGACAATTCACACGCAAAAAAGTGTCTTTTCCTCTTCAAACAATGCATCGATTGTTTTTCCTCCATGTGTGAGCTGATCACGATGGCGGGAAGGCTGGTGTTTAACAAGAGAAAGTTTGAGCACATTACACCCAGTATCTTAATTTATCTGCACTGGCTCCCCATCAAACAATGCATTGTCTTCAAAATTTTGTTAACTACATACAAGGCACTGAGTGAACTTGCACCTGGCCACATTACCAACCTTCTTGACAGATATGTCCCAACGCGATCTGTACGATCCTCTGATCAGTTGTTACTGATTATGGAAAGTTCCATGTACAAACATTGTTTCGTTTGGAGACCATGCATTCAGCATTCGAGTGCCAAAGCTGTGGAATTCTGTTCCATTTAAAATTAGATCTGCTGAAAACTTAAACAAGTTTAAATCTAAACTGAATTAACCTATTTATTTTGTTGCTTATTCATAATTTTCTGTGGACCTTAACATTATTGCACTATTTTGTTGTTAATATTCTTTGTTTCTAGCTTTTAGGATATTTGATCTTTATCAGATTTTGCATTTCATTCTTTTATTATTATTATTATTATTATTATTATTATTATTATTATTATTATTTTTTACAGTTCCAATACTCAGTTGTATAGGAGCTGCTCATAAGGTCTCTCCTGATTGGTTGCAGAAAACAAGGACATGTTATTCTTTCAATTATTATTATTTCAGTATTGTTTGGAATCAGTGTTAGGCACAACTGGTCACTTCTTTTCTGAGCAGCTGCTACATAACCCCCAATATTTGTTGTTAAACACCGTAGAGCCATTTACAAAGCACTATGTAAATAATGAATGATTATTGTTATTTTTTTAATCACAAGAACCTCATCCTAAAATTTAATAAATTATATATTTGGAGTTTCGTGATTTAAAAGAAAAATTTAAAAACAAATTAGTTTTGAACAGATAAACTTTGTTTCACACTTTTATGCTTGATTAAGGCTTTTGCATCTCTTTTAGAGTGGTTTAACTCTGTGAGAAAGTACAATTATGACATCTTGGAGAAAAATGCGGAGGAAAGACCTGATGGAGTGCCTTTGGTGACAGTTTGCAATCATACGTCTTGTCTTGATGATCCTTGCTTATGGGGTAAGAGAATTTTTGTTACTAAGTGTTTCAGATCAAGTGGTGTCTCACTTAACAAAATTAAGATTAACCACAGGGTATGCCTGCCCTTTATTCACAACACCAACTGCGCGCCCTTGTTTATTGTAGAATACGGTATAACTGAACACAACCATTATGGAAACTTTCTAGTGAAGGAAGTGACTAAACAGAAAAAGGGGCAAGTGGTGAAAATGTACTCCATGGGATTTGTTCAACATGGAATGTATTGTTCTGCTGATGGAATTACATTTGCAGCATACAGGGCACCTTTGATCAATTGTAAACATGACAGTAAATTTAAATGTAAAATTAATGTCAAACACAAGTCTTCTGTGCTTATATCATGAATAAACAACAATTTTCCATTGAAGCAAGTAGATACAGGTAATGGAAGTTGTATTTGATTGTTTCTTTTACTCCAACATTAAATTTTAAGTTTTTATGGCTAAAGGCTGGTTCCAGATGGTATTGATCAGAGTTGTAATTGGACTTGTAAAGAGCACTTACGACTGAATCAAAATCAAGAATCAGAATGATAAGTACACTGTAGAGTCACAAGCTCGATGGTTTAAGATTTGCTAGAATAAGATTGTTTCCATTTTCTTCCAACCCACTTTTGACTCTGCTGCATATGATCCGTCATGGTGAGAACTAAAAACGTTGGCTTTGGAGACCTTTGGAAGCAGAAAATTAAGAATACGCTTTAATAGTACTGTCTCGCTTCCATGCCTTGTGATTAGTTCAGATCATCTTCTTCTGCTTGGGACTACTTGATTTTTGTAGTGCTCAGCAAAAGTGGAATAACTAAACCAATCACAATGCATTGCAACAATCTAGTTTTAACTATACTGTGAGGACCAGAAAGGAAAGCAGATTAATAAAGAACAATGTTTACTCAGATCATAACTCCCTGAGCTTCTGATAAGACTACGACTCTGACGCTTGTCGCCATTAAAAATGAACTCACAAGAAACTCCAGAAAAAGTTCTCATATCATCATGGATGCATTACATAGAATGAAAAAAATGTGACGTTAAATGTCCGTACTTTTACAGACAAAGGCTCTTATCCAAGGAGCTCAGAATACTGAATGACTATTAAAAATACTTTTTAATCTTTTTTATTAATTCAGACCCAGAACAGAGCCTTCAACATTTCATTTTATTTAGACACTTACGCAGAATTTTGTTATTTATTTTCAAGGACTAATGAAAATACGGACTGTTTTAAATACACATAAGAAGGTCAGATGGTGAGTGCTGTCATAAGTGAAGACCTCTTTGTTATGTTGAGCACTGTCAGGGTGTAAAGAAAGTCAGTTTTACAGCTTACCATTTGGGCAAGCTGTAGCTAGCATGTACTAGCCCAAAAGTCATTTTAACTAGCCCGAATTTTAAATATTTTTTTATCAGCGAGATTGATTACAGTTCTTTTGTAATGTTGATTTCCTAAACAATCTTAATTCATTTGCCCGTTGAGGAAGTTATTAGGTACAGTCATCTCCTTCTTAACCACTAACGCCGTTGGGGCTGACTTCAAGGTTTCCGTTACCAGAACTGGCCGACCAGAACAGCTCTGCTGTAAAGGGAATTCCACTTTCATTCAACACTAGACCTCCAGCTAAATCAGTGGGATCAGCCTATTCCTAAATAGTAGAGACTGGTGGGTTTTTAGGGAAAACTCTCCAAGTGAAACCAAGGTTATTTTCAAAACTGTTATTTTGGCCAGCCAGTTCTGACTTGGGTAAGTGCCTCAAAGTTTCAAAGGGGTTGCATTGGGCTCATAGAAAATCAAACAATAATTACTGAAGAACAAAAGCAGCCAACTACAGGTGTACATCAAGTATAGAGATAACTGAAACAATGCTTCAACCCCTACTTGTCTCAATTTGCCTTTTGGCAACTTGAAATAAATAAAAATTTATAGACATAAAAAAATGGTCACCAGAAAAAGAAAAGGAGCAATATCACATGAAGGTCTACACCTTAATGGTTCATCTTTTTCAATGGGCATGATTTAGAGCATTGCAAGTCACTCAACATTTTTGTTGTAAACATTATTTTACCTTGGTGGTGGTAAATAATGTAAAATGTAAATAAACGGCTTGTCAAACATGAAATAAATCATTGATGAGGAATACATGTATCTTGTGACTGGTGCAAAGTTACCGCAGGTCATCTATGCTACCCTATTGACACATTATGCCTTTTGTCAGACAAAATATCTAATTTCATTGGAATAATCTACATTGCCTGCTTTTGTTTCTCTTTACAGGACTCTCGGTGCCCATGAACTTTTGTTTGCAACTCCATTTCGTTGTGCTTTTTTCAGTAGAGCAAAGGTAAGTGATGTAATCCCTCTTACTACTCCAGGGCATAAAACAAATAATAATATTATTTATTTCTCATGTTTACAACCAGTTTCCATTAGCCATGTTGCAGGCAAACCAACCTTTAATTTGCATTTAACAAACCATTAAATTTTTTTGTTACTAAAAATAATATAATACAGGTAATTATTATTGTTTGTTGAAAATTTGGATATTAATGCTATAAAGTAAATATAATGCATACTTTACTTCCTTAGTGTAAACCAGCGGGCTTTTGCAGAAAGTCAAAAGTTAATAAAATCATTTTGACATTCTTTCCAGGCAATTCCTGTTGTTAGAGGTAAGTCACTATGAAACAATTTTTCATTTACACTGTATAAAGAAGTCTTACTAATTAAAGAACAATAAAATTTAATTTTAAAAAAATTAAGTCATTAATGTTAAGGAATGTTATGCTGTGAAACAGATCACTTACTGTCAAGACAGGTCAAGCGTAACCCCTTGATGATTTGATTATTATTTTGAAAAATGAGTTAGTTTATTTTAATAGTTGTTCTCGTATGACTAGTGTCAAATTCAGGTCAGAACTCCTGTATGTGTAATGAGCAGTGAATATTTTACGAGAACTTCTCTGTATTTGGTAAGGTTGAAAATCTTTGAATGGAAATTTGTTAGATTACACACATCAACTGCCTCGCGGATGAATTCTCGGCTTATTATTCATGCAAGAATGCAAAGATGAATCTGAAATCTACAACTACCAATGGATATGGAATCTTGGGAGGTACAGTATTCTGACCTTCGCTGACCTGGTCTGACTGTAAGTGAACATTCCATATTCATTGATTTGTTCATGTTGACTGAGTACGATTTTTGAACAGGGGATGGTGTTCATCAGAAAGGAATGGAAGTAGCGCTTGAACGTCTTAATCAAGGAGAATGGATTCATATCTTTCCTGAAGGTAAAATTAATATAAATTTACTATTAGAAGAAAAAGAGATCATTGAATGAACCAATGCACAATCAAACCAACAAACAAATGAATTACTAATCGATGTTGTAAAACTGGCTCTTTTTTATAATAATAACATAAATTCAACAAACACTCATATTGTTGATCTGGACACAAGCACACCACAAAGCCACAGTCAATATTATTGCCAATTGTGGTTGTTTTTCGTAAGCCATAATGGCTTTGTCCTCTGGATACAATAACATTTAAGACTAGGTTAAGAGTACAGTTGTTACATTTTACCCTCCCCTCAATCTTCCCACTTAAACTCGAAGTACTTTTTGTTTCCCTTCAGACAATCTCTATATAATTCAGGAGTGGATCCAGAACTGTCAAAAGGGAAGGCGGGGACACTTAACAGCTCTATTCTAGATACTTTTCTTTTTCTGACAGAGATGGAATTAAAGTACTTTTTGTTTCCCTTCAGACAATCTCTATATAATTCAGGAGTGGATCCAGAACTGTCAAAAGGGAAGGCGGGGACACTTAACAGCTCTATTCTAGATACTTTTCTTTTTCTGACAGAGATGGAATTCTATAATTTTAAAATAATACAAAATTTCAAAGGAACCACCCCTAATTTTGCCCATGCAATTTTACCCTTGGAAAAAAAAAGTATGAAGTCAGAAACATTAAATTTATTTATAAAAAGTAGTGTCTATTCTTTGTCTTACATTTATGTCACCCAACTTCAAATTCAGTGTCCATTCCTGTATATTACTCAAGCTTTGTTGCTTTGGATTATTTTAGTTAAAAAAATGCAAATTAATTAGCAGTTAATTAATTAAATGATCAACCATTTAATTTGCACTATTTGTCATTTTGTTGTAGTTATTTCACTGATAGGACTTGTGTTGATGGTAAAATTCTCTCTTTTAGGTGCCATTAATATGAATGATGCCATCAAGAGACTGAAATGGGGTAAGTTGATCTTAGTTTATGCTTTGACTTAATTCCCGGCCTGCCACACTGCTGTGTACATTGGGCAGCAGGTCTTCTCCACTTGACCCAATCTTGTTTTGTGTCCATTTCTCATCTCAGATGGATGCCCTCCTTAACTGGGTCTTTCTTGAATATCTGGGAATCAAATGGTCCAGTAATGCTTTCCAATCCACTATGGCTCCCTTCTTTCTGTTTGTTGAAATCTCCGTACTATGATTTTGTGATATCATGGCTCAGTATATCACATTAATGACATCTTGTGGTAGTTGCCCATTGAATTGCTCAAAATTGTCCTTGTGTTCATCAATTGGTGTGTAAACCTGCACAATAATGCTCGTATGGAAATTTCCCTGGAGGGGGCCGGAGAATTGGTTATACTTAGAAATGTTTGGGTAGGAATGTGCTGCTGGGACCCAGGAACCCTTGGCCTATATCAGACTTAGTTTAGCTGAATTTTGCAGCTCTTTGGTAGACAAAACTTCCAAAGTCTCTCCCTATCCTAGAGTCCCTATTTTCCAGAAATTACTGAGGTTGACACTTTCTTTGTTATTAAACTGAGTTGGGGGTAAATTTTTTGGTGTTGTTTGTACAATTTTCTTCACCGACCTGCTTTCTGAGCATCCTGTCCACCTCATGAATTACGACTAAGAGTATTGTGTATAAAACATCACGACAATGTTCAAATTAAGAGTGACGTCAACACGGTTCAACACCCCTTGGAACTTGTTCCAAGACAGTAAGGACCATCGGTCAGACCACTAAGGTAACTCTTCTCAAGATCTTAACTTCCCTCCCTGTAGACTTTGACTCTGATCTTTTAAATCCATAAATCCTTGTGTGTCAGTGTAGATGTGCTTGTCATTGTAGATGTTTAGTAGTAATTTTGAGGTTTTGTGTTGGCGGGAATGTTGGTGCCCCTGCCAGAACATCTGCGTCACAGGCTAGCTCCCTATATGCACTTCAGGAACAAAACTTGTGAATGATTTCTCTCCAACGTACTCTGCTTATTCACCCTTTTCATGGTCAGTTTCCTGTGCTTACTTGACTTTCCTGTAGAAGTGGACAATTCATTGGAAAAACGCTTCAGGCCCTTCTAATCCCCAGATTTACTCATATAATTTTCTTTACTGGTAAGCTCTTTACCCATGCTAGAGTCACCCCAACATTACAGACCAGTCATTACAGGGTGTTCAAGAGGAAATTAGGGATGGTCAGTTGGTTTAAAGGTCTTGATCTGCACTGTATATAATTAGGATTTTCAATCTTTTTGTTAGGTGTTGGCAGGCTCATAGCAGAGGCCCAGGTCACTCCAATAGTTGTACCATTTTGGCATGAAGGCAAGTTGTTGTTATTGCCAAGACATGGTCAAATATATCTAATTAGTAAGCTACAAGCTCATTGTAAATCTTGTTACAGTCAAACTGGGAAAATCGTGAGCACCGGAAGTATTAATGATAATTATGTTATTGTCTTGTAAGAGAACAGCCAATCAGGCATGAGAAAACTAAACTGCAAGCAAGAACGTTCATTAGTTTGTGGTTTTGTGGCCAGTTCACGTGTCTTGATATTGCTGTGATTGGTCATAACACATTTACAGTCCTGAGATATTTCAAGTGTTCACGGTTTTCCCGGTCGTACTGTAAGTCCATTCCCCTCAGGACTTTCCAGTCATGTACCATACTATCGCTCCCCTCCCCTCCCCTCTTATACGAGGGGAAAATTTTTTTTACAACTCGTAGGACTGGACAACTTATCATGTCCATGCATCTCATTAGTTCACTCTAGGGTCCTCTTCAAAAGGTTGTCGAATCGTACGAGTAGTGCGAATGGAGGAAATTTTTGTTAGGTGGACAAATGCATCACATTACATGGTTCGCACTGGCCTTGAAAAGTGCTTGAAAAGGCATCCTGTCGTTGAAAAGTCCGGGATATCCTTGAAAGGTCCTTGAATAAATTTTTGAAAGATCCTTGATTAAAAATAACCTTCGGTAAAAAGAAAATGTTTTGCGCAAAGGAATGATAGAAAGAACAGCAATACACAAATTTTGTTGGTGATGATTAAAGTGCTTTCGTCTGATTTCTGTGTTCCCGGCATAGTTCTTTTTCCGTTATTTGAAGTATCCTAGGAACCGTGCCCTACTAAAGGAAGGTATTGAGATATGCGAACCCCCCTCCACCTACTCATTTTAAAGGTCTTTACTTCATGTTATTGGGGAAAACAAATCCTTGAAAAAATAATTTTAGTCCTTAAAAAGACCTTGACTTTTTTCCAAAAAATTCTGTTTGAGCCATGCCGTTGCATGCGAGACTTCAGTTTTTACAGCAAATAAATTAATCTTTTGTTCCCAGACAAAAAAATCGCTGGGAACAAAGCGTTGTTGCTACTTTTCTAGCAGCAAATCTACTTTTTAAAGTTAAGTTTAGGAGAGCGAAAATAGTTCGAAATTTGTTCCAAAAAGTTCTTATTTCAGTGCCGAAAGTGTCAAATTTGGGGCGTTTCAAGAAAGACTTAGCAAAAAGAAAAAAGTGAAAAGTTGTTAAAATAATAGCTGAAATCCCAAAAGGCTTAGTATTGTTCTGACTTTTGTTTTCTTTGAACATGATAGATGTATGTATAATTAATGAATGTATGGGGTTACACGGAAATCTTGCCCTACATGCTCAACTGACCTATAAACAAAATGAAAAACAATATTACAAACACACTTTGCAGTTCTGTTGTGTGGTTGTTGTATTGCAGGTCAGAAAAGCTCGCTAAATTTAATAATCGATAATCGCCAACGAGCGAGGACAAAAATTTTTCTTGTCTGTTCTTTTTTTTTTCACATAAAGTGAAGCCAAACAACAAGTCTGTTACCTTAAGACTAGCAGCACTAACTTTTATAATAATGCTTTCAAAAAATTCCTTGAATAGCGATGCGATATATTTCGTCTAATACTTCTCAGCTAGCGATTGAGGTTTCTTTCGCAGTAAGCCTCATGAATTTGACATTAACTATACAAAGGGGATTACGTCCCCTACAGTCTTAATGGACGGGTTGTTCAACATCCCACAGCAGGGGAATTCTTACAGAATTCTTACATGAGCAAGGGTTGGACTGGGGTTGTTGACCGAAAGACTTCTTCTTCCAGGCTCTCAGATAGTGGGGAAGAAGCTAAAGTAAAAGGCACGCGAAAAGTTGGCGGGGTGGGAAAAAGGGAAAGGGAAGCCCCTGCTCTCCCCAGTTTCCTCCCATTTTATTTTCGTGTTCGCGCTTTTTCAATTCAGCGGCCCCGACTATCCAAGAGCCTGGAACAGGCTAAACTGTTTGCAGATGTCATTTCAAAAGCAGCTCATTTTCGTCAGTTATTTCAAGACCCTGGGTGCAGTGAGTGGCGGTCCGGCCAGGATTTGAACACGGCGCGGAATCCCTCTTGGCAGACCGCGGGGCACTCATCTGGCGAAGCCCACCAGTTCTGGACCTTAAATACCTCGGTGCCATAGACTTTGTTTTAGTTTTGATCTACATTTATTTCAACTCTGCGTGCATCATACTCTTTCTTACACGGACGCAAGACTACGGATCTTCCTTTGAACTTGACAGTGTCACCTAAGAATTCAGCCCCAGGAACTTCGGTTATTCCACTGAACAAACAGGCCATTTTCACGACGACATGATTTTGACTAAAAATTGTTATTGCTGTTCTGGACCTGAATATGAAAACAAATTGACCAAGAAATCAAACATGATCCTTGGATTCTGGTAGTTGCAGTCAAATGACTGAAACGATTTCTTTGAGAAAATGGCCGATTGACAGAGTTAGCCGAATACTCAGTAGTATTACCGCTGAAACGTTTAAAAGACTCGTGAATTCTTGTCGTCGTCGTGGTTGCTTAAAACCCGGACAAACGGTCCTGATGGTATTGTCTCAGTATTCTTGTCGAGAGAGTCTGCTCACACCATGTCACATCATTCCACAAGGGGGGTGACCACGTCTCTTAAGCGGCCTAATGACAGACTTTCTATTTTCTCTTTTAATGGAGACCATCGAAAGCGCGTATGAAAGTAAATGCGAGGGGAGATTTATTGACCGCGACCGCAAGAGGGTGGGTGAACAAGAAAATAGCGCTCGCTGTCCCGCACTCACCAAATTCTCAAAAAAAAATCTTGTGTGGACTGGCTAGTGACTCCTAAACAGTCACAAGATCGGTTCTCAGGAACTGTTTAAACGCTGAGATATCATTGTGACTGTTTACCCGAGACCTAACTCCTTACTAATTGTTAACTGACTCGAATGTGGCAGACCGACGAGCAAGCATTCAATTTTAGAACCCCAGAATTAGGCCACTTCCGAGTTCCGAAAACCCTTACTTTCAAAATGAGGCGAAATGCACAACCTTTCTTGTGAAAATGAGTTTTATTTGCATGAGAATGAAAAACAGTTTGATATCAAAGGCTGAGCACTTAACCTCGTTTTGATACAGAGGCCTGGGGGAACTTGGAAATGGCCTATTCTGTCGCGCATCGGAAAGAATTTTCATAATATACAAATATCTTTGAAAACTCTTTACAGGAATGGATGATGTTTTGCCTAACCAAAGTCCTTACATTCCGCGAATAATGCAGGTCAGTGAACAAAAGAACTCAGACAGTTAACATGAGTGGCCTTAACTTGATGATTTAAATGACACTCTTTGTAAAGCTGCGAGTTTTTTATTACTTCCCTTAGAAAGAATTTGAACACAGTGAACCTGGGTAACTTGGAGACTAAAGGACATGCCATACAGTCCAGCTTGTACCCAGGTTTCAATAGACAGGAGAAGTGTGACGTCACGTTACCACGATAGTACTATTTCTGGATGACAACAAATCCAACGGCGACGGCGACGGCAAGGAGAACGGCGAAAAATAACATGTTTATAATGAGAAACAACTTTGCACGTGAATCACGCTGTTTTGTACATTTCTTTGCCGTCATTGCACCATTGCGACATGAAACTTCCTAATTTCACCAGCCCGCTTTATGGAGT